GGTGAACGGAGGGAAAGGAAGGAGAGAGCACGTACTAAAGCCAAATGTCTGGGAGTCTCCCTTCACAAATATCTTTTGGGATTTGAGATCCGTGTGTAAAAGAGGAGTTATAAGGAGGGTTTGGAAGATAAAAACACTGATTAATCCCGTCACTACAGGAAGCTAGCCCTTCAATGGTGAAAAAGAAAATCAAACATAGAATAGAAGCCAACTCTCGAAAGCATTTGCTACTTTGGCTGCTACAAACTTACATACATGACTACAAATTGTTTATCTACCACCAAATTATTTATAACTAATTAATGAATATAATATAAATGTATCTTATTGTAAACAATGTGAAATAAAGTGAACTTGAACTCATAGATTAGATAAGGTATTCTTCGAGTTACGATTTTCGAGTTACGATTTTCAAGTTACACACTTTTCAAGTTACGCGCTCGGACACACCCATATTATGAGGGCCACGCCCACTTTGACATCTGTGCGTAACTCGATGACAAACAGCGTTGAAATCAAACTCGAGTTACGTAACTCGAAGCCAACAGATTGAACTTATTTTTCGAGTTACGCGCTATTTCCGTAACTCGATTCTAAAAAGTGGACAAATATTTTTTCGAGTTAATCTGAAAGAGAAAAARAATTTTCTTCTCGATAGATTGAAGGAATTAATATTAAAATTAATATTAACACATCAAATCAATTCCCTAACACGCTGAAAAATGATACAGGTAGGCAGCGATCGTGCTGTTTATTGACTAGAAATGACCGAACTGTTTTATAGTTTTAACGGTTTTATATACAGTCAATTCAAAAAACGTTGTCGTCGACCGGCTCAAGCCTACGCGACTGGACCGAAAGGAATGTGGGTAAAAAATCACTGAAGCGGTTGAATATTCGTTCTGAATTAATTGTTCCCGCTAGGAATAAAGATAATAATGGCGAGAAACAATCCATCAAATGCATGTCTTTGGGTTTAGGCCAAGTAAAACAAAGTAGTTATGATTCAGTTCACAATTTCGAAAATATGAAGGCATTAAAAAAACGTCTCCTTCGACACTTCCTGCTCGCCTACGAAGGTTCGTGCTGTAAACCAGGCCAGGCATAACTAGTCAGATAAAATTATGCAGTCAACTCGGCTTCAATGATTACTACCCAGAGTTCCTTTCGGTCTAGTCGCGTAGGCTTGAGTTGCTCGACGACAACATTTTTTGAATTGACTGTATTGCGGTAGCTATCGATCTTGACTATTCATGCAAGGCTCTCCATAATCAGCCAATCAGGATAGTACCGTTTTGCCCTCTGTCAATATAAACACAAAAAGGTCGAGTTGTCTGTCAAAAGCGCTTTTCTATGCGTGACGAATTTTCTTCATTGGCAAGACGATTTTGTATAAGTTTACCAAAAGATTTACTGTTTTTCCCTGATTTTTGTGTGTTATTTTGATATCACAAAATAAATTGTGTTAGGGGTATGTCTAAAACCTGATTGGCCGAAAAAATGTTTTTACGAAACCAAACAGCATACAGGATGACGTCAATGTTGTGAACCATTATCAAATGGCTATTGCGGAAGAGTGAGCACTGAATCGAATCAAACGACACCGTTTAGAATAATCAGTTTGCGGATTTGAGTTCGCCTTGAAACACACCCGGCCGGTTAGCTTTAAAAATGATTGGAAAATCCTTTGAGAAAATTTTATATGTGGTAGGCATCGGAGTGCTACAGCTCTTGGCTGTTCTTGGATGTGAGATGAACAGCGATTGTCCGACTCCAACTAAACCACTATGCTGCCCATATACCATCCCACCAAGATGTATGGATTCGTTGATGTGCTACTATTATGTAAAGGATAACACTAAGAAGCCTACCTATTATCCAAAGGTTTCTTTTCCTGACTACAACAGATTTACTGTTCCTGATTACGACGAGTTCACTCATCCCAACTTCAATGAGTTCACTGTGCCAAATATCGATGTGCCAAATATCGATGTGCCGACGTTTTCTTATAATGATAACAATGATGATTATACTTCCACCGACCAGTCTTCCACTTTCTCCAGGAGCCCTTATTGCTACTGTGGTTGTTAGCATACTTCTAACCATTTTAATTGTTTGTCTCCGATGTGTTCGATACAGGGCGAGGCTAAATCATTTTCATCGAAACTGTATTGTGCAACGTCCAGCAGCGACTAACAACAGCCGAACAAACTTGAGGAACTATGAGGAACCGAGTAGAATAGTCATAATAGCCGTGACTCGAGATGAAGACCACATTAGGCGTCAGAACCGTCCTCCAGATGGCGAAGCACCTTTCCTAAGCGAAGAAGACTTACTCCAAAACTTACACAACAGCTGCGCTCAGGAGCCTCCTCCATACGAGGAAACGACAGCAGSACCTGATCTCCCAAAATACGAGGATTTAGTCAACGCGGCCATGGACCAACCACCTCCTCCCGTACCCCCCGAAGCTCACACAACATCTCGAAGTTCTATAAATCCTTCTCAGATGATACCTCAAATCCAGCAGAATCTACCAATACCTAACGTAAACCCTCCATCATACGAAGAAGCTCAAGCAGCAACTAATCAAGCTATCGAACCGCTTCCCTAACAAACTCTTTCATCTAGTCACGGTTGAGCCGAGAAAGCAACTACCATTTTATACKGTGCACAAAGTAAGTTACAACAAAAGTCAAGAATTTCATTAGATTAGTTCAAGGTATCGGAGGAGACCCCTAGTATGCGCTAGTCGTTTATCAATATGTGTAAAGGAGATAGCTGTATGAATTATGATGCCCATGTAGATGGATTATGTATGATACTGATGTTGTACAGCAGCTGATTTTCAGGATGACACTAGCCCGCAGTTCTTCTACACTTTGTTAGTTAACAAACACTTCACATTGTAGAAATTTCAGTAAGCCAGAAGACTTTGGTTTATAAGGATGTTAAAGTGGCTATCACCCTTCTGACAATATTCACAGTATTAATTCTACATGGGGTAAGATGTTGAATAACCCGGAATAAATATATAGTTTAAGTGCAACTTCTTGAACTCTTAAAGGTTTTTCCATGCCATATGCTAATGTTGTGACGTATGAGGAGTAATCATTTAATATACAAAACACTACTGGTACAGATAAATTAAATTTGAAATACGTCATTGTTTTCCCCATTGCTCTTATAGAAATGATTGCAAGTTACTTTTCCCATAGAAGCCGGTGTTTCGAATTACGAGGAACAACAAATGACCATAAATGCCTCCTCATACGTCACAGCATTAGCATATGACATGGAAAAACCTTCATAACTTCAAGAAGCCGCACTCAAACTATGTAATATTTTCGGGTTATTCAACATCTTACCCCATGTAGAATCAATACTGAGAATATTGTCAGAAGGGTGATAGGCACTTTAAGCTTCTAGAGTTATATTTTGCAAATCAATATTTGTAGTATATTTTTAGAAAGACACTAGTTGCCTCGATAAGTTGTTATTGATGTCTATGCCAGGGCTGGACACCCATCACTTGATTAAAATTAATATAAAAAATAAAAGGCACGATAAATCTATATTTCAGTAAACGTTATGGTTCGTTATATATGAGTCACGCTTCAGAGAAATGGGAGCCACTGAGAGGTTGATCATCGTGAGTCATGATCATGAACATTGTCTGACCCCCAGGGGCGGATCCAGGGGTGGTGAAGCAGGTGACTAGTCACCCCCCCTTTTGCTCAAATTTCTCAGTATATTGTTAGTAACAGTCACCCCCCTTTTTCTCGAGTTCATGGTAAAACTGTTGTAATAGTCACCCCCCTTCTAAAATTCCTGGATCCGCCCCTGACCCTGTCTTGGCCCATGCTTTTCACAAGTTCCTGTTTTCTTTCGCTTCTTTACAAATAATTAAAAGAGATCGGCAACTCAATAAGAATTTTTCTCTTCACTAGGAGGAAGTGATACCGCCTACTCTTCAGAAACTCACGGGGAAGACAATGAGACTTGATCGTTTTTCAGTGTTGTGTATACATCAATTAGAGGGATGTGTCACAGCCGGGCGACGTCTTGGGGCTCGATAGTTCAAAAATTAAAGCTTTGAAACGTATTCATGTTGGGTTACCTGTGCTATCTTTCACAAGCTTATATTCATAATGAATATAAGTTTATTATCTCTTGATGCTATTTCCTCGCTTACTGACTCTCAGCGTGTTAAAACTACGCAAACGCAATCTCGCGCTCATAGGCGTTTTGTTATGAACAAATACCGCAAAGTAAAAACTAGGGCTCATAATGAAAGGTTTATTTGAAAGATTTCTAATAAAGTCCTTACGGATAATGAAGTATCTTTGCCTATCCAAGGGTTTAAAGTTCATACCAACTCCTAAAAGCCAGCTTCTAATATGCCTCTTATTAGAGATTTCAATACGTTTGCCCGACTGATGCGTATAAAATACATTTTCGCAAATTCGAAAAAGACGAAACCGCATCCGTTCCGTGTTAAGTCTAAGTGGCAGCCTCCACCACAACCCTCGGTGGCACTAGAGACAAACCTGGAACTTACTAAGACTGATCTGTCCAACATTGTTCACCATAAACATTCGGACAACCTGACACTATACGAATGAAGGGCTCTTAAAGAATTATCTGCTAATAAGGAAATTAACCAAGAGAAAATGAACTAAGAGAAGGAATCCCCGTTCCCCATCATGTGCACACTTTGATGCTATTTTTAGAATCATTGATGCTATTTTTAACTCGTTACCATGCCCGCGCGATAATCATGCTTCCTTTAATGCCTCGTTTTAGGGCACGAAAAGCGACAAAAACACAGGCTTTTGTTTACTGCAAGACTAGAAGCCGCCTACCATCAAGAAATCAACCAATCAGGTTCTTCACTCAAAATATCTCCAAGCTAAAAATAGCATCAAACTGTGCCCATGATGGTTACAAGGTTATATAGGGGAGATTCCTTCTCTTAGTTCGCAAAGATACCACTACTGTCATAATGAATACGAGCGATAAAATAGACGAAGGGCTATCACTAGTCTCTGAGGAGAAACACTATAAAACCCTTCCAGATTCAATCGTATGCGAAACGTCCACTAAAGTATAAACAAAGTCGTTAACCGATTATTTTCAAGCGGACACTTTGACAAAATGACTTACGAGTGGCTCAAAGACAACAAAACGCCGCCCAGAATAAGCCTTTTCATAGTTTAAGAATCGATTCCACTGCGCATGCGATTTTATCCCGAATTTCTCACCTTCTTTTGTCTAATCCTTCTTTTGTTCTTAATTAAACAAAAGAAGGTGAGAAATTCGGGATAAAATCGCATGCACAGTGGAATCGATTCTTAAACTATGAAAGGCTTATACCAGAATTCTACACACTAACTAAGATACACAAGAAAGTTCCAGTTGGTAGACCAATTGTTTCTGGTAGCAGTGGACCTACAGAACGAATTTCTTGTTTTGTAGATTCACTTTTACAACCGATTGCAAAAACACAAGAGTCTTACATCAAAGATTCAATTCAACTGATTTTATCAATTATATTGAGAAAACTCCCATACCAGACAAGGCCATACTTGCCACTTTAGATATCTGTTCACTGTACACTAACATACCTCAAGACGAAGCAATCTCGTACCCAGAGCCCTTATTTCTTACTGCGCATGCTCGACGAAATAATTGGGCTCTGGAAAACTCCAATATTTCCTGTGCTGTGATTGGTTCTCGAGAACAAAGAAAGACACCGGAAGTAAAAATTACAGTACTAGGGAAAATAAACAAGATGGCGTCTCGAATTAAGTACACCAAAAAAGCCTGTAAAGCCGGATTTTTCAATTTTTTWAATTTTTTWAAATTTTTTTWAAATATAAATGAATAGTTAAGCGAGACAACCACCTCGACTTATGGAATAAGTCTAAAAAATAACGCGAAAAAAAATGTTGAACTCGAAAAAATATTTGTCCACTTTTAGAATCGAGTTACGGAAATAGCGCGTAACTCGAAATATGGTTCAATCTGTTGGCTTCGAGTTACGTAACTTGAGTTTGATTTTAACGCTGTTTGTCATCGAGTTACGCGCAGATGTTAAAGTGGGCGTGGCCCYCATAATATGGGTGTGTCCGAGCGCGTAACTCGAAAATTGTGTAAATCGAAAATCGTAACTCGAGTTTTTCTTTCCCTCCTCATAGATGGAGTCTAGGGAAAACCATTTTTCTGTTGCATGCCGCAGATATAGTCTCTCCTTAAAAAAWTTGCTAAAGGAGTTCTAGTGGAAGGTACGAGCTAGAAGAGTAACATATCACGTGACTAGCCAAGCACGCGTGACACTCAATACAAGACGCAATAAAACGTATTTACAAACTTAAGAATAAATTTAAATAAATATAAATTGTGATTTCCTGACTTGTGCACATTCCCAAATATCGTAACTTAAAATAGCATATCTCCCATGGACGTTAGAGGCCAGGCAAAGAGTGGGGGTGGGGGTGGGGGTAGAGGAAAATTAATGCTTGTACATCCATTTTCTGCGATTTTTAGCAATTATTTCCAAGATAAAATAAATTAAGTTGTGAGCATGATGAGGGTAGGGTTAAAAATTCTCATCCCATCCTGAGAGGTCGTCTGGCGGTATTTCCATGTCTTTGGAGTAGATATCAAAGTTGGAGCAGTCTGTGTTACTATCCACCTGGAGATTGAGAAATACATTCATGTTTAGCTCATAAAACACCGATTCTACAGTGATCCACAGGGATCCCATAAAATAAGTATGGAGCATTACAAACGAAACTTAGACATTTTGAAAATTATTTTAAAAGATAATGTTAAAGCTTGGTTGTTACTTAGAAGAAAACACTAGTATTCTTTATTATTCTCTAAATCAATAGTTAAAGTGCTTATAAGCCTTTGCACAATATTTTCAGAATTGATTCTTTAGATAGTGGATAGTTGATTGTGAAAATATTTCGTCATTTGAATGTCGGGTCTTTAAGATACGAAGGTTTATATTCCCAATATGTTAATGACTATGACGTAACATAAGGGATCATTTAATATRCAATACTGCACTCGTTCTGGAATACAGTATTTTAAAAGCATCACCCTTTTACTCGTGACTCACGTAAAGGTTCTTACAAATTTGTTTTCGAAAAATGTCCAGCGTTCAATATTATAAAAGTTGCCACAAAATAATTCAAATCCCTTATGTTCCATCATAGTCATTAACATATTGGAAATATAAACCTTCGTATCTCAAAGACCCGACATTCAAATGACGAAATATTTTCACATGCAATCAAATATTCACTATTTAAAGAATCAATTCTGAAAATATTGTGTAAATGCTCATAAGCACTTTAATCATTTATTAATGATATCCACCTTAGGTTTTATCGGAGGTTCCAAGGTCCTGTCGAGAAGCGCTTTCCAATGGAATCCTTGAAACCATCTAAAAGAGAATTTAGATATTTAGGTTACGACACTCGCTTGGTTTAGTTGGTTGAACACCGGATTTTAATTTTGTGCGGTGCGAAAAGACCTTGGTTTTAAAATAACTCATGACTACAAATGGTTAGATTTTCATCATTACATTTATAGTATTTTCGAATATAATATATAAACATGGTAGTAACCAGGTGATCTCGTGCACGCACTTCCGGTTACTATTAACCAATCAGAAGCATTGTTGTTGCATCGCTAAAAGTTCCATGATGAATTTCAAAATGGAGTCGTATTTCGAGTTAATCTTTTTAAAATACGTCCTGAAATATAACTCTACTTTGAAAAATCCTGTTACATGTACCAGAAAAGCTCCCTCTTGCCCTATCAGCAGTTAAAATGAATAAAAACTAAGCATAAATGCAATAAAAGTAAGCGAAATCGAGGTTGTCTTAATTAGTCACCAGCAGCCATTTTGATTACCGTGAGATATTATGACATAAAAGACTGGGTATAAGCCTTTTCATAGTTTAAGAATCGATTCCCGAATTTCTCACCTTCTTTTGTTTAATTAAGAACAAAAGAAGGTTTAGACAAAAGAAGGTGAGAAATTCGGGATAAAATCGCATGCGCAGTGRAATCGATTCTTAAACTATGAAARGGCTTATTAGGAACCGTTAGCTTTGAGATATTATCCTTTGCGCCCTTAGAGGCGAGATCATCTGGTAAACCTTACTTGTGTTTTTTRATATCGTTCAATCCATCCTTCTGATACCCAAGTCGTTCTACTGGATTATCTCGACACAGTCTCTTGATCAAGTTTTGGGGATTTCGTCCTATTCTGCGCGGGAACTCGATCATGTCCAGTCCCCTTAGAATGATGTTGTACGTCTTCATTGGGTCTGAGCCAGAAAATGGCGGACTGTAAAGTAAAATTAGAATAGGAAATCGCACGATCTCGAGTACAATTCAAAATTTATGGGTACGAGTGATTTTCATCACGAGTATCTATAAATTAATTCCGAATTGTACAAAAATTGTATTGTTTTTTAAACCAATCATTGTTGCAAACGGCGAGGGATGCCCCAAGAAATGACGGTCAAGCTAAAAGAGTTTACYTCTGATAAGATTTTCTTCAACCCGTTTCAATAGTCCCCTTCACAGTTCCCTGCGCCATCTTGAAAAGTAGCCGTGCCTTTGCATCGAAGCTACACCAGCGGTGAACTTGCAATGATAGAATCCTTTTTCTTAACAATTATTCACATGTCTATATAATCGCAAGCTCACCGTTCTTCGCTTCGATGCAAAGGCACGGCTAACTTTCAAGATGGTGCAGCTAGTGAACTGCGAAGGTGACGTGAAGAAAATCCATAACWCGAATATCCACACGTCTAAGGCTGCATGTGTTGGTCACGTAAATGGGTGGAAGGAAAATGACTGAGAGAGGAAAATTGAAGGAATACAAAATACAACTGTTACCTTCCTGTGAGCAGTTCAAAAATAAGAATGCCAAGAGACCAGTAATCGGCTGACAAATCATGACCCTAAAACAAAGAAAGCAATTACGATGTTATTGTATTTAAATCGAGAATAAAGGGACGTGTAATTGTAGTGCAATAGCCCCTTTCACCTCTCGGGTCCCATTCCTCGACTGAGCATAAAAAAAGGTGAGTACTGTATAATGTTTGTCCATGGTTTAAGGGTTTAACTCTGGGTTTTTCGTTAAATACCTAAAAAGAAAACTCTGCAAAAAAACAACAACTCTGAATTGGTACTCAATTTGTGCGGAACAGGGTTAGCCTCGATTTCGTACGGAATTACTTTGAATTTTCATGCATTCCAGTCAAGGTWTGTGGAATTTCAAAGTGTTTGTATTGTTGAAGTTGTGCATTCTTTACTTTACCGTTGCTATTTGTGAATATTTGGAGATTGAAATGCTTTGCTCTTGTTAACCTTGTTATATATATATAGGGATAGCTTTAGACAAATAATGAGTCTTTAACAAACCTTATTGAGAATAATCTCTGGTGCGACATACTCAGGTGTTCCACAGAACGTCCAAGTTTTACGACCAAAACCAATCTTCTTAGCGAAACCAAAGTCAACCTATTGTGTACAATTAAATATGACGAGCGTCATCAAAGACAGTCCTACCCGCGAATTACATCTCGTCGACTAGCGCATCGGTCTTTGGCATGCTTATTTGTGTGGAAGGACGCGGACCATTCTAGTTCCACTAAATCTTTATGAATTATTCATGAGTATTTGAAGCTGTTCTACAAACTCTCAGATCGGCCACGCCTTGTAGTTTTAAAACCTGATACGACACTTCTGCTCCTTTATTTCGCGCTACGTATCACTTTATGAAGAACCACAGTGAAATTTTAAACTTTTGTTTCATATTCTTACCAATTTAACAAAGCCTTGGCTGTCCAAAAGTAGATTTTCCGGCTAAAGTGAACGAAAGAAAATGAAAACTTAAATAACAATTACAATGTACAAACGTTTTCAAAARATTTTAAAAGCTGTAGAAGCCGACAATACCTTGAGATCTCTGTAAACGAYTCCTTTGCAGTGAAGATAGTCAAATGCTTCAACGACACAAGCGATGCAGAACCGTGCAGTCACATCATCAAAACTTCCCCTAATAAAATATTAAGAATACCTTTTGCATCATTTCTGGGCTTTCCAACGACATTGGCAAGTGTATCTGGCAGCGTTTTTGAGAGCTTTTAAATTTTGGTTTACTAAACAGTTGTATACTTACCAGTCTCTTAATATTGTCCATAACTCTCCACCAAGACAAGCCTCGAGTAACATGTAAACATACTTTCTATCTTTAAACGTTCTGTAAAGTCTAGGATAACAAAACCAAAAGGACAGATTTGACAAGGTGCACAGGGATGGAAATACCAAAAGGACAGAATTGGCAAGGTGCGCAGGATGGAAATACCAAAAGGACAGAATTGGCAAGGAGCACAGGGATGGAAATACCAAAAGGACAGAATTGACAAGGTGCGCAGG